ATTGATAGCTACTTGCCTGTCCCAAACCTAGTCAATTGTGATATCAGCTCCTTCAGGGCAATAGGATGAGCTGATTGGTCCCTGGAAGTATCCTTAAGTCAGGTCATGATGTAAGTTAACAATGTATTGAGACAGAACAGTAGATATTACTATGAATGGCTTTTTCTGGCTTGAAAGCCAACTTGGGCATGATCTGAAAAGCTGATGATGTGGCAATAGCAATCAATATGTAAAGTCATGTGAATCCTTTAGCCAGTTCCCCATAAACCTACAAGTATGGTTTGAGATAGGACAGTAGCTATCAATATGAAGGCATAGAATGGCCTTTCTTGATGTGAAAGACAATTTGTACATGATGTCAAAAGTAAATGCTGCAGCAATGGCAATATGTAAAATCATGTCAATCCTTTAACCTCATCCCCATAACCTATACAGAGTCAAGGACACTATAAACTATATGTCAACTACAAACTTTTCTAATGAAAAAGCGGACACTACAAACTTTTGTAGTCTGAAAAGCGGACACTACAAACTTTTCTAATGAAAAGACACACACTACAAACTTTTGTAGTCTAAAAAAGCGGACACTATAAACTTTTCTAATGAAAAAGCGGACACTACAAAACCTTTTAATGTAACCCTAATTTTGTAGTCTAAGTCCAAGCTTTTGTAGTCTAAGTCTGACTTTTGTAGTCTTTTGTAGTCTATCAGTAAACTTTGTAGCCTATGTCCAACTTTTTTGTAGTCTATCAGTAAACTTGGTAGTCTATATCTGACTCTTGTAGTCTGTCAGTGTTGATTGCTCTTTGAGGGAATGCACCTTCCTTTTTTGGTCAATTTTCCCATGATATGATATTTGTTGCCCTTTCATCTAGCTTTCTAAATGTGTTGGAATCATGTTATTTGGTTTTGTTTTCATGAAGAAAAATGCAAAAAACCAAAAAAAACACGACGCTTTTGGAATTCCTTTACCTCATATCTCCACAACAGGAGCACTTCAGAACATAATTCAACCAGATTTGGGAAGCTACAGTGCAGGGGTACAACTTTC